AAAAGACAGATCTTGGGCAAGACTCCAAGAATTAGAGGGTAGCCCCCCTTAGCAGGCACAAGGCAGCCCTTTAGTAAACAGAAGGAAGGACACAAAGGCAGCTTACAACCAAGTCTATTCCCACTCCTGGCAGTGGCTATGTGATGGCCCTCTCACATGGAGCTTTCACTCAAATCAGCTCTGTATCCCATAGACTCACCGATAGACACCCGTGGTGATTGCATCTATATGGAATATTTTCAGAGGGAAACATGTGGGTGAGACAACATTAAACTCTATGCTGGAGCTTGTTGCATGATCCATAATTTTTTCTTCTACAAAATATCTATAGATGACAATGCTATCCTTACTGCTTCATACCAAAATGGGAAGCAAGCACATTGGAAGGAACTGACCTGCACTGCGGCACTCTTGCCTGCACTTTGCTTCCTTAGGCAGTCCTATTTCATTCAACAACCCCACCTCCAAATAGCTTCAGACAGCAAATAACAACATTGCAGATCAGTACAGATATCTGCAGGAACAGGTCTTCACATGTAGAATCCAAAAAGCTCTCCTGACAAATAGTTCACAGAGGGCACATAGTTCACTGCTTCTACCAGCTGCATGTTTTCTAGAGATTTGTCCAGTCTAGTTTTAAATTTATGCCAAGTAGCAGAGATGGTATCACTTGTCTTGATAAATTGTTTTTCTGTCTTTGGTCCAAGACTTTTCTTTAATTCCAGTATCCCTCCCAAGATTTGACAAAAAGGATCAAATGCTAGTGAGAGCTTAAAACATTCAGCTTGTTTGCAGACTGCGTGCAGTTGGCTCTCTCTCTCCAGCCCCCTGAGCTGTTCTTAGGCTTCTCACTTGGACAGACTCAGCTTCTTCATCCAGAAGAGAAAGTGCTGTGTCTACGCAGAGACAAGAGGGAGAAATCACAGCAGCCATTCAAGAAAGCAGTCTCTTGATCTGAAAGAGATACAAGGAATGCCCCTTTCCCCTGTTCACACAACAATATTATCATTACAGTAACATATGATAGCACTTTTGCATCCAGCCAGGTTCGCTCTGTTTAGGTTCAGTAATCCTGGTCTTGTACACCATTTAAACTGTGAGGGGCAACACTACGGGTCAGTACTATTCTGCTAGAGAAATGCTTAAGAATACTCCTCTGCTTTGGCCCCCATTTACTTAATTACACACTCCACCCCCAAAATGGCAGCCTCTGCCCATCAGGATCCTTTCTGAGAAGCAACAAGAGGCTTTACTGACTGTGTGGCTATACAAAGATATGTGGATCATTAACACAAGCAAGCCTCCAGCTTCACCGTTAATCACTGGCTGGCTCAACACCTGCATTCTGCAGACAGCCTTCACTGAAGAAAGTTTGCAGCTGTCCAAGCTCCGGCTGAGCTTCCTCATACTCACCAACTATCTCCACTCTCCATTTGTCAATTGTAAGTGATAATTTCTATTCAATCTGATACATATTATAAGAATATAAACAAATGCCTCTGGCTGTATCATGGCTGCGATCATTTCCCTTTATAGCCATCATTTATTACAGGCGGACAGGTGGCCGTTCGGTGGAATGCCGAAGAGGCTATCACCTGGACAATCACCAGGAAACACACTCACATTTACATTCTTCCCAAGCAGACAGGCAGAAAAGGTGTGTGATTTCTGGAAAAATTGCACTATGCTCCAAAATTTCTTCCTGTCCCTGTAAGTCACAGGAACAAGTCTGAGTATTACCAGCCTAACCCATAAGTGAACAACAGATTTGAAATTTAAACTTATTTAGGATTTTTGAAAATAAGGAGGAGGTCTGAGAAAGCTTTGCCTCCAGTTGCTTCACTTTTTTTTTGGTCTTACAATTTTGATACTGGATACATGCTTTTTCTAAATACTGACTGTTTTAATTCACAAATGTATACAAAATACTGAGAAGGCAGCAGCTTTGTTGCTCAAATAGAGTTTGAAAGAAGGTTTACTATCTACTACTGCTAGACACATGTAATGTTTCATTCCAAAAAGACCTTGGAATTCGTATATAGGAATCATTTCACCTCCCTTTAAAACACTGTCACCTCTAAAACAGATATATGTCAGGTTACTTCACAACTGGGGCAGCAACAGTCAGGATGGAAAGTGAACAGTATTGCAGTAACAGCACTTACAGAACACATTTATCAAATTCTAGAACAACGACATTAACATCAGCTCTTGCATCAACACAAAAGGACCTAGGTCTTATACTCGCTCTGAAACACTGCAGTCTCACACGCACAGCAGGGTCAGGGATCAGTGCAGGGTGTTAGTTCACAACAGGGCTGCATAATCACATGCTGAGCAAGCCCCTACCAGCAATTCTGAGAGCAGGACCTGGGGTCCCCATGTGGGCCCTTGTAGTTTTTAGTTTGTTAGAATGCAGGAAACTGGACTTTTGCACAGAGCACTGCACAGATAGAGCAAGGAATGCTGGAGCAGAAGAGTTGCTGTAGGATCTTGTCATAGCTTTTAACATTACTATCTGTCGTTCTCAAGATTAGAGTTTACATTGATAACCATAGCAAGATGTGCATTATCAAGTTCATATGAACAGACAGACCAAACGTCCATCACACCAAATATCCCATCTGACCAACAGCTAGCACCAGATGTTTGGGAAAGATTCCACCTTCTCCAGGTACACTCAGTCACAATTGAGCACCATTTGCCATCATGCACACACCTCTCTCCAGTGCTCTTTTCCCGATAGGTACACATGAGAGTTCCTTTATTATTGCCCAGCATAGTAAAGTTATTATTCGGTGATACCACAGTCTATCAGCAATGTAGTCACATTTTAGGCCACAAAGGAAGGCACCAGACTTGAGATGTCAATGCCCAGTGGCTCTATTTGCAGACCTGGGCAAATCCCTTTGCCTGCTTTTACTCCCCTACCTTCAAGCTAGATATAACACTTTTATGAACAGGAGTAAAGCTAATAATAAATATATTAAACTTACCCCCCAAATTTCCAGTGTCCTACCAAAGGTCATTTTGATAAAAGATGGGTACAAATGAAAGACATTCGCTTGGAAAGAGAGAAGTAGAGCAAACACATTTACCACTTTAGCGTATGACCTGGAGATGGAATCAAGTCATCTTAGAGAACAACTTCACACAAGCAGATGGCATGTGACTTTCAGCATCATAGACACCTATGAAGGCACTGTAAGACATTCCTGCATGTAACAACATAATTGGTCTCAGCATCTCGGTATGATCCTATGAAACAAGCTTCCAGGATAAGCATGAAACATGAGTAGGTGCCATCTGTGATCATGTCACTCAGTGGGGAATCATTGCTGCCAGCGTGCTCAGCAGAGCCTATTGCACATCAATGCTCATCGCTAAATGGACTTTTTGAAAAGCAGGAGAAGCAAAAAGTATACAGTCTGCCCCCAACCTCGTGAGGCACAGAATAAGGCTAGGGGCAAACATAGCATTGCTGAAGATACTTTTCCACAGGGGTATGTTATTAGTGTCTGTCCAGTTTCATCCACCAGCCAACTTGGGATACGCTAAGAAGATTTTCAGCACATAAATAATAACAAGTCAGTCAATAGCACTCCAGGGAAAGAACTTAGTGGGTGCTACACCTCCCTCATGGCCAGCAGAGGTATTTGCTTTCACTTAAAACCTATGCAGGCCACAGGGATCACAAGCTCCTCAGGTCGCCTCACATTTAGTCCTGCCACTACCAGTCACACGGAACACTCCAAAGCAAAGCAAGCTAAGCAGAGTCACATACCATCTCTCCAAAATCCTCCTCCAGCAGCACCTCTCTTCCTTCAGAGCTGTGACATGCAGCAGTACCTCCTCATGTTCTATTTAGCACCTATTTAATGAGCCAGTTGTCCACAAATTTACTTAGTCCCTCTTTGAACATGCTAGTGCTCTCAGGTCCCACAGCTTCCAGGAGCCAGGCACAGAAGTGCTTCCTTTATCTGCTTTAAAGCAACCTCTTGTCAGCTCTGTGGAGCACTGCCTTGTTCTAGTACAGTAGAATTTAGCAAGTAACAGTTCTCCATTTTCCATACCTATTATCTTCTTCCAGAAAGGCAAATTTCAAAAGCACTTCCACAGAGCTTTTTCCAGAGCCTACCAGAAAATTTTCCACATTCACTGTGAGAGATCCCTTCCCCTAAATTGCACTTTTTACCACAGGGTCCTAAATCGACTCAGGGGCAGCCAGGAGGGAGAAATGAGCCTCCTCCATTTTCCCTCACACTGCCATTCTATCAGCTGCACACAGCTTGCCTTGCAAGAGTGCTGAATTCCTTTCCCTGGAGGAAGAAGCTGGGACAGCTTTTTAATAAAGCACTGTCCCAGACTGCCTTAGTCCCAGTTTGAATTTGGATTTTGCAGGCAGGAAACAGAGCCAGGAACAGAGTCCTCTCTTGGCAGCAGTGACAAAAGGGAATACCCAACCCACGGAAAGGGGAAGAGAGGGATACAGAAGAGTCTGGATGGTGTGCCAGAAAAGAAAGGCCCTACCAAAACCATCTAGCCCAAATGCTTACAGATCAGATAAGCTCACAAAAGCATCTTGGAGAGGTCGGTGGTTTGGTTGACTGGCTCATTGTCAAATTCACTATTTACCCATCCAAGCTGTTTTTCCCATTCACTACCTGTGAAACATGTATTTCTAACACACTGTTACAGCGCAGGACAAAGCAGTCTAGCTCTGGCTGAGAACTGCTTTGCTAAAAGACAGCAAATGGTAGAAGCCATCCATTACAGCTGAGAACCCGATTTTGTATAGCTCTCTGGTTTCCTTTCCAAGGGTTTTGTAATTGCCCCTTTCCAAATCTATTGTATTAGATATTTCAAAACACAATAAGAATTGTGTTTCTGATATTCACTCTGATATTTCAAAACACAATAAGAATTCATGTACTGCAACAATTATTATTTTGCATACTGACAACTGAAAGTTCTTGCAAGCGTTCCCCCAAATTAATTACCTTTGACATAATTACAATTTTGGAGAATGTTCCTGCTTCCTGTGGAAACTTCATACTTTTCATTTAAAGGAAAAAAAAAGATCTGCCATGGTGCTCTGTAGTGGTGGTCTAAGTCCTCACCAAAGCTTCTCAGCGGGGCAGTCAAGGTGCACCAATGGAGACGTAGGCCACCAAAAAAGCCCAGCCTAGTAAGAAGAACAGAAAGAGAAGCACATCAGCTGTAATTCCCAGGTAGAAGCATTTAACAGTTCAAATCTACATAGCCAGTTATTTTGGGTTTCATTTTGCATGGAAAATTAAACCTTCCCCTCACACTTCCATGGTTTTCTCCAAAGATTTTCCTTCAGATCAGTCAGCCTGTTTTTCCAAACAACTCCGTCTGCTACCTAGCTCTGAAATTCTTCTATTTCTGCAGCAAACTGTGACAGAGACAACCAGAGCTGAACACAATACTCTTAGGCTACCATTCCACCATTTTTGTATTATGTATAGTCTATAAATTTTTGATTCTGTCCTTAAACATTGGCTGGTGTACAGTTAGACTCCTGCTTTTCTAGTTGAAAAACTGATACTTAAACATTTTTAAGCATGAACTAAAAAGACATGCAGAGTTCCAAGATTGTTTGGTTTGGATTTTTTTTGTCTGAGGTGGTGTTTACAGCACAGAAAATTTGGAGGTGCAATGCTCAGATCTGTAAAGCTTAGGCTCTGTAAAATTGCAGAGCAAAATTAGGAAGAGGTTGAACTCTCCCCATAACAAATAAGCCTTGCTTAGGATAGTCCTAGAACTGAAGGTCAAAAAAGAAAAACTCTGACAGCAATTTGGTACACAGTTTGACATCACATTGCAGGTTCATCCACAAACTCTTATTTCCAGGCATTTTCCCCACCAGGGAGAATATGCTGGATGAGAATAAACATATACACTGAGACCTTCATCTAATTTTCACATATCTAAATGCAATTTGTTTCACTTTGAACAGGCCACCTGAATTAAACAGAAGTTAATTAAAACAATCCCTCATTTTTTGCTGTTTAAAACTTAAGACTTGGTAAAGGAGGGGTAAGATGGGACTTTTTATTACTCTTAGATGGTGCTAAGAGGACCCATAAATACATCTCTTCTTCCTGTGATCCCATTCATCTTGCTGCCTTTGCTACTCCTCTTTGCCAACAATCAGATCCCAGTAAACAACCTCAAGTGAAATTTGCAACTGTCAGATAAACATTAAAAATGCTTCTCTTGTCCTTTCCTATTGATAGCCCCATTAATATTGTAATAGAACAAAAAGTTATGAAAATGAATGCATGCTGGTTTTGGAAGTGAATGATGCAGACAGCAGCTGTGAAATATATACACTCGAATATGCATAGACAAAGAGATACAGTGCACCCACAAAGAAGTGTGTATACACTTACATGTAATATTTTAAGATACAGTACTCAGATCTACCTTCATGTTACTGTACACTGTGAAGCAACTCCATTGACTTTTGTCTGGTGTAAATTCAACAAAAGTAAAATCAGAATTAAATTAAATTACAGAATTAAATAAAAAGCTTTTTTTTTTTTGAGAAAAATATATCCTATCTACACAATTTTTCTGTGCTGTTGGTTTTTTTTAATCTTTATTTTTGGTCAGAGGCTAGTATTACAATCTGCTTTTGCGTATTTAGTAGTTCTTTGCAGCATGCATGCTCTGGTTGTATGTCTACCATTAATAAAAAAATATCTGTACCTCAAACTTAAGTAAAGGAATATGAAAAAAAATCATAAACAATAAACTCAAGCTCTTTTATTCAAATTTGCTCTTTAGACACATATTAATTCAAGCATTATCCACAAAGTCTCAGAAAGGAGCAGTCCAATTCTCTCAATCCCACAATGAAAATGTTGCATCTGGTGTCCTCTGTCCATCTGAACCCTCACTGAGATCATTGACAGTTTTGCAAAATTAAAGACTTTAAATTTGAGTCAGGTTCCAAAATAATCCCCAAACCGTCTTAAAACATCATGAGGTACTGTTGTCTTTTACACATAGAGATAGAGAGATAGAGATATGCATATACATGTATTGGATTTTCCTATCAGGCTTTTACATTTTCTGAGCTTTTAACATTCTACTGTTTCAAGCTTTTCTGTAGAGATAAAAGCTTTGCAGGCTTTTAATAAAATGAGAATTCTTCAAGGGAAAGTAGGATTTCACAGACTGGAGTTTCAGGAATACTCCCAGATAGAGAGGCAGCTGTGATGGGTTGGTGCAGGGAGACTCCACAAAGACTAAGTCTGCCTGAGAGGCTTTCCCTGCTTCAACAAGACCTTAGCTCTCTGAACAAAAACATGCTGCCAGTCATATTGTTCTAATTCCCAATTTAGTGAAATTTCATTGGGTCATTTCATAATGTCAGGCTGCATTTAGTTGCTTCCAGTCATGTGTTTCTGAAGTCCCTTAGTGTAACACACCTAGAATCCTCTCTCTTCTGAGCCTTGTACTTTTCAAATGCAAGTCCTACATGCTTGTACTTCTATACAAAAGCCAAAAGATACTAGACTGGGAACACCAATTGGATCTTTTGAACCCACAGCTCTCCACTGTTCAGGTCAACTGTCATTTTGCACAGAAATCATTCCCTAGTTGTCTTATGCTTATATTAAGCAAAGGTAAAACAAAACAACAACAAAAAAAAGATGTTAATTTTGTAATGTTTCCTAACATCATAGAAAAAGCCTGCCAACATTAAGTTGCCAACAATCCTGAAATGTGGTATAGTTTTACCTGTTATGAAACAGAATTGCAAAAGCAAAAATTTTTTTTGATGTTCTCATCAAAGTCACAAAAAGGTCAGTCAGTCTTATCAGATTTCAACTGCTCTAGTGCCTTTTGAACTGAAATTTATTTCATTCATCCACTCTGAAATACTGATTATGGAAAAATTCCACTTCAGACTTCTGCTATTTTAATCACAGATCACCGAAAAGTAATCAACTTCTGGAATTTATATTAAATTTTCCTCTGAGTGGCAGTCAAGTTAGGTATAAGGACTCCGGTTGGATGAAATTAAAAACTCACATGAGATTGTCTGTGTTGCAAACTTTAGCTAAAAGTACCTGGGAGCAAGTGACTTTACTGCAGACACAAAATCTGGGTAGTCAAGTGGTACTGTGTGTCCTTCCACAGACAACCTATTCTACTGAGTTAACATAAATATAATGACTACAGAGTTGCTCACACTTAAAGATTATTTCCCCAAGTACCTCACAGGAAATGTTCACCATTTTCTCGGTGCTTTTCTTTGTAATTTATGCCAAATAATCTTTGGGCTGATGGTGCACTACACTTCAAACTAGAAGATGGTCTTACAGACCTTACTGGCTACCTTTCATAAGTCGCCTGTGAGCACTGACTTTCGGCAGCAACATTTACTGAAAGAGTATATACAGACGTCAAGTTCCCTCACAATTAAATATTTTTTGGTAAGTTTGTTCACAAAACAACTTTCTTGTTCTAATTCATTTTGATTTAGATTCGTGACAATTTATACAAAGTCTTTGCTCATATTTGTTAATTTAGGGTTTGAATAATAGTTTTTCTTCCTGTACGGTTACCTCCCTTTATTTTGCATACCAAGTTACCATTGCCACAAAAATCTTCTTTTCTGGTCAGGAAAAAAGTTAACTGCTTACTCTTGGGTCTTGTAGTTACCCCACAATTCACTACCAACCAGCTTCAGCTCCAAAATGGCTTTCTGTTCAAATGTTCATTGAAGCAGGTCAGTTGAAGTGTCATAGAGCACAGGATGAAAGAGCTTTCCCCTGACTTGCCCTTGTGCTGTCATTTGCACAAGGGCAGTAAGGCTATAAAGCGTTCCCCTCCTCAAACGGGATTTTATGCCTATATGGCATTGGTACAAATAAAGAAAGAGAAAGAGACAAATTAGTAGCAGTCTGCTGCTGGACATGCCCAGGAGTAATAACTGTGAGACCATGTCATGAGGGAACTTCGATAAGCAAAGGATTCACTGTGCCTTTGTTGAGATGGAAATGCAGCCCACAGCACCAACACAAAGTTCAGTCTGAATTTGACACTCTGTTTGCAGTTCGTTTTTTCTTGAGCCTCAGGGAAACAAGCGTGATAGAGTAGAGACAGAGCGTAGGGCAGAGCTGGAATCCTTCTTCCACTTACCAAAGCATCATCAGAGAGCAAGCATCAAGGAAAATAAGCACTATGATGATCCATGTATTAACTTCCTGCCCTCTAAGGTCAGCATTTCTTAAACCATCCAGGACATTACATTCTCTGCACAGTCTCCAGCCATTTAGCAATGGATGGCAAAGGAAGCTAAAGCTCTAATGGGATGAAATGTCAAAGAGAGCTTTTTATTTAAAGAACTAGAGAAAAGAAAAGAAAATGGATATTTTAACTTTTATCTCAGAGTTAGTTAATATTCACACTTAACTGCTGAACTGGCTAAATTCTTTTCTTTTCTTAAGGACCTTTATAAATTTCATCATTAATAAAATCAGACATTCAATTAGCAGGGAATTTCTGATTGCTAACTGAGATTTCCCCCCCAACAGTTTCTCTCTTTCACTCTTTCTAGTCTCTCTTTTTATTTTCCCCTCCTACCCCTATGTCCCCCCTTCCCTGAAAAACCAGGGGAAAGTGAAAACTGACTCCATTAACCTCTGTCATTACCTAAATCCATCTCTTAATTAATATGAGTTAATATGATTAATCAAAATAATGAGACAAACCTATTAAATTAGGGTGTTTAAATTACAAATGGAAGTGGTAAAGGCAAAGGGGCTGATAACGAATAGCTGCAGTCAGAGATGGGTTTAGCTCTAGAAATGATATGTAACAATCAGCAGAGAGAATCGAGAATGAGGGGAAATAAGCAAGATCCACGTGAGAAAAATACTCAACATGCAAAAAGAATGATGTTGTTCAAATGCCTGATAGCATTTCAGAGGATCAACTGTGTTAAGATAATTTTTAAATCTTTTTCATGGTGGAATATAATATAGATAACAATATGATCATCAAATCTTTCAGCTTGCAGTTGGCTTCCATAGGGTTGGATGGTACAGGTTGCCACTAGCAGTTTGCTGGGAAGTCTGAAGCATTTGCTAGTCATATTAACACTGCTCCATGGAGACAAGATTGCACAGGTTCTACATCTCT